CCTCTAGGCCCAGGCTGTGTCTGTGCATTATCGCCCTCTAGGCCCAGGCTGTGTCTGGGCACTGCTCTACTGGATGTATTTGAGTAAATATGAATAAACGTCAATGAATGGAATTAAAATATCTCAAATATAGAAAATATACAAATGCAGGAATATTATTACATGGTGGCAGCTGGGATTTCTTTAGTTAAATATAAACAGAACAAAGAAGAAACTAGGCATGCAGGTTTCATGGCTAAAGGGAACAGCAGCAAACAGAATGTATCCGCAATTAAGAAGTTGCCACAAAGAGAGCAAGTTTCTTTGCAAACTGTTGGTATCTCTGAGTTGATTGGGTTGTCCAGGCAGCCACATGATTCAATCTAAAGGCTGTTTGTTATTTGAATGAGCCTTGGAAGTCAGCCCCACGCGATCCTAAATTCAAAGAAACACAAACAGTACAGAACCAACGGAACAATCCCAAAAACGAAAGAATAGAAAAGAGCATCAGGTGCAGATTGCACAGAAAGAGGTGCATCTTATATACAACATGAAGAGGGAAAAGAGCAGCCGAAGAATTGATACAACATTCCCCAGCATGAACTGGAAAGGCATGGATCTCCAACCTGAGTTCAAATCTTTCAAACAAAGAATGTAACTACGGTTCACACATCAAATAGTTGTAGAAGCCATTAGGCAAGTTATGAAAATATTCCAAGCAGTTGGGAATGAGGGATTACATAGAGTCAATATCTCAGGCTTGTCTGGAAAGAACCAGAAAGATTCCACAAAGGATTAAAAGTGCTACATGTAATAGTCAACATTAAATATTGATTAGAATTGATATCTTACAGGCAGAAGCCACAGGAATCCATGGATCAGTTTGTCAGTAGACATTGTAACAAGGGCTGTGAATGAGACTTTTGAGAGGCTGACCTGTAACAGTGGATAATGGAGATGATGATTGCTTCAAGACTTATCCAAGACTCCAAAAGGAACTCTTGTTAAAAAAGGAATGACATGGAGTTGATTCACTGATAGCAGGAGGCAGGAAATACAAGACCATTGTCAGACAGTGTCACCTTCAGGGACCAACTGGCAGCAGGTACAGAGCCTGGCACGTAGGGGCCATTGGGCCCAGGTCTGTGTAAGGCATGTGGTACTGACATGCCTCTGGGCCTTGGGCTGCACAACAAACCCACCTCCAAAGATGGATTTTCATTGGGTCCCTTACCCAGATAATCTCAGGAAGTCACTACCTTCAGCACATCATCATTTGGAGGATAGTTGGATGACTATTTGGTTTCTCTGCCAGTTGCGATCTGCCTAGCAGCATAGTGACAGAATGTTCTGGAGTGACTTCATTGATGGTGAGATTGGACAATGCTAATGGACAAAACCAGAGAGCATGGTGGGAACCTACAGTCACTGAACAGAGCTCATTGTGAAGGGCTCCTTGTCAACAGCCGGACATGTTGGCTGATTGTAAATCAGATCAATTCTCTGCCTCTATGTGTTATGGTCAAAGAATCCTTCCTGACTCAGGAAGAGGTGAAAATGTAGACAAAGACCTGCCTCACAAACAAGCAGCAGCTACAGAGATGCCTTGGATTTTTCAATGTCTTGACACCATACCTTCTGGACTTTTCAACATCAGCGCTAAGAGAGCTCATGAGGCATGATGTACGTTGGGAATGAGGGCTGCCAGCATGTGTTTAAGTCTCTGAAATAAACATTGCCAGCAGAAAACTGTCTCCTTTGTGTAACTATGACCCAAGGAAGAAAACAATCTCAAAGGTCATACTTCACAGAATGGGCTAGGAATGAGCATCACGCAAGCTGGTGAACCAATTTGATTCACATCCAAACATCTATCACAAGCTCAATCAAATGATTCCAACATAAAGCACTAAAAACGTGGTGTGGGGCTTGGGATCACCAGATTCCATATGCACCTGTTTGGAAAAGGATGCAGAAACCACTGACAGTGCCTTATCTCCACCACAGGGATATCCAGTAAAGGTACAAAGGGACAACTTAAAGCCCTGCTCCAAACTGGTCACCTCCAACATACTGAGCAGGTCGCCTAACCTGAACACGGATCCAGGTAATCCACAGGATCTACACATTAACAACACTGAGGTGGAGCATTTCTCAAAACTAATCTATTGTTTCCTTCTCTGTGGCATGGTGGCTCAGTGGTTAGCATTGCTGCTTCACAGCGCCAGGGACCCGGGTTTGATTCCACCCTCGGTCTGTGTGGAGTTAGCACGTTCTCCCTGTGTCTGCGTGGGTTTCCTCCAGGTGGTCCGGTTTCCTCCCACAGTCCAAAGATGTGCAGGCTAGATGGATTGGCCATGCTAAATTGCCCATAGTGTTCAGGGATGTGTAGATTAGGGGGGATGGGTTTAGGTGGGTGCTGTGAGGGTCAGTGTGGACTTGTTGGGCCAAAGGGCCTGTTTCCATACTGTAGGGATTGTACAATTCTATGATTAATGTGACCAGTTTCAATCAGAAACAGCTCATGGGCCATGACTGAAGGCTCTGTGGGTTGTTATCATTGGCAGGTGACCGAACTCAATAAATGAGGAGCCTTTGGACTGACAGCAATGAGCTCAGAATCTCAATGGGTGAATGTTAAAAGGAAAACAAGGCCTTGTGCCCGAAGCTCTCTGCCAGAATATATTGTCATAAGGTCACAGAGGGTACCTGGGCATGGAGCAGGCAAGACAACTGGGACTGTTTATTGGCCAGGGATTGACGGGGCTGGTGATACTGAAATGCAGGTGAAGCAGCATGGAGGAACCAGCCATGCAGCACAGAGAACCCCTCTAACCTCACAAGGTTCTGTCAGATCTCATGGGTTAGCGTCACCCACAGCGAACAAGATGTGAAGACGAGTGAGAATGATCTTGTCAAACCATCACCAAATTCTCCAAGATGAAAAACGCACTCGGTAATAAATGAGAGAGGATGATGATGGAGTGCGGTCACACTGAGGGTGAAGAACTACACAAGATCTTGAGAAGCAAAAGGAACACCTTCTCTCAGCCCACAGACTGGTGTTATTGAACTGTGTTTCCCCAGGCTTTCTCCACCAATCATAAGATCAATTCTTTTTTGTTTGTCTGTGTCTCTCTGAACATGTGCGTAGGGTTTAAAATAGATTTAAACTAGGGCTCAGGTTTCTGTTTATACCGTTATATATTAGTGATTCTAGTTTTAGTTACTCGTGGCTAGAACATATTCAATTATAACAGCACCAGTTATTGTTAAGTACAGGACCTTGGCAATGTTTACTGTTAACCTAATTCCATCAGACTGATAAATTGGGATCTTTGTGTGCTTTGATTAAGTCACTAACTTTAGTGGGGACCTTGAGAGTAGTGGGGATTGATAACCAGCCCCTTTCCCATATGGGTCAGAGCAGGGCACAGTTTCAAACTCTGCAGGTGAGGTTTTGTGAAGTGTGCGGAGCAGATGAATGAAGTTGATGAAGTTGGTGGAATGGGCAGGCAGGTGGCAGATGATGTTTAATGCAGAAAAGAATAAAGTGATACATTTTGATTAACAGATTGAGCAGTGACAAAGTAAAATGAAAGGTACATTTCAAGACGGGGTGTAGGAGCAGAGGGACCTAGGTATGTGTGTACACTAATTATTGAAGGCAGCAGTGGGAAGATTTGCAAAGATGTTAATACTACAACCAGATTGGAACATAAATTACAAAAACCATTATAAACACTGGTTTGGCTTGAGGTGAAGTATTAAATCTAAATCTGCCATATCACACTTTAGGAAGGATGGGAAAGCATGGGAATGGATACAAAAGGAATTTGCAAGAATGACCCAGGGCCTTTGGTTGTGGGTGTAGATCAGAGAAACTCAGATTATTCTTCCTGGAGAGGGTTGTGAAGAGATTCGATTGAGGAATTCGAAATTAGGAGATATCTGGACTGAAACTGTTGCCATCAGTAGATGGTTTGAGAACAAGAGGGCATGATTTGAGGCAATTGGCAAAAGAAACAACGCCAGGATAAGGAAACTGGGCAGGTTTGTAAAAATGAGGAAAGACTGAATAATGCATTGAGTGGTTCGGTCTGGAACGTACTGTCTGAGAGTGTGGGGGGAGGCAAGTTGAATTGATGTTTTCAGAGGGAACTGCCTAATTGTGTGAAAAAGAAGAGTTTGAGGGGCGATGTGGAGAAAGTGGAGGAGTAGCTGAGTGGATCTTGCAGGGAGCCAGCACTGATTCAGCTAGCTAAATGGCCTCTGATTGAGTTGTGTTGACATTGTACGGTTTAATGAGACCATTGCACCGATCAGAAATCACTTTCTTGTATCACTTTCTGCTCTGCCTGTATCTGTCCCAGAGAAGACTTTCCCAATTACAACTGTCCTCTCCAAACCACAAACTCTCCAGCCTTTCCATCGTCCAGTCCCCACAACATTCCTGGCATCTATCAATCTGCTCAATCACACATTCACCTCCATCTTTGATCCCCAAGTCCCTGACAAGCTCCTTCCTGTCTCTCAGCCTGGCCTTTCCCAGCAGGTGAGGACAGATCTGGTGGATAACTGGTTGCGGCCAACCAGTTTTTGCTATTGTTTCTTTCCTTTCCCGCTCATGTCTTCTCTGAGTTCATCCTGACCATGAAACTGACTAAAAATCTGTGCCCCACCCGCACCCCTGGCCGACTCTGCCCCCGGTCTCCACATTGGATAATATGGTAAAGAGATCAGCTCCTCTTTGGGTTCTGACTCTCTCTCCTTCAAATCCCGCCACGATCACCTTGTTCTGCAAAAACATCCTTACAAACAAGCTAAATCTATTTCTAATTCTCCCGGAGGCTCGATGTTGACCTTTCATAAACCTGGAGTTAGACATTGCCAGTTCCAGATTCACTCTGATCCTGTTCCCATATCCTCTCATGGTGCTCACTGACCCACACCAAACCAACCCTCAGTCTGATTTTCAAATCCCTCCTTGGTTTTACCTTGGCCTTGCTCTGTAATCTCCTCCAGCCCAAAGTCACTTTGGGTTCTCTAACCTCCTCTAATCCAGGCATCTTGGATTTCAGTCGCCCTGTCATTAGCACTGGGACCTTTAGATGGTGAGTCTCTGAGCTCTGGAATATCCCCCTTACAGCCCTGAACCCGCACAGCTCACATCCATCCCCGAACCCATCCACTTCCAACCTGCATCTTTCATCTGATGCTATCTGATCAAAAGGGGCTGAGTGTCAGATTTCTGTGCAGACACGGGGTGTTGTGTGGGGCAGGTGTTTTATTCTGGGTGCTGCTGTTGTGGATCTGTCAGTTTCTAATGGCCCTGTGTCACATCCACACAGGAATTCACATTAACCCCGACTTCATCAAAGACTCAATGAGGTTTTACAGCTCTGAGCCGCAGCTTCTGACTGGGGTCAATACAAAGGACACAAAAGCAATTAACTCGTGGGTGCAGGAGAAAACAGGCGGCAAAATTAAAACATTCTTCAACAAGCTGCCAAGTAACATCATTCTCTTGTTGCTGAATGCCATCCATTTCAAAGGTGGGTCTATCTCTCTCCATGACAGCTCACAGAGAACCACTGGGCCCTCACTGTCTCTGTCCACTGGGCCCTCACTGTCTCTGTCCACTGGGCCCTCACTGTCTCTGTCCACTGGGCAATCACTGTCTCTGTCCACTGGGCCCTCACTGTCTCTGTCCACTGGGCA